TTCTCTCCCCTTCTCTCTTTCCCTCCCCTTCTCTCTTTGTGCCTGTTTATTTCTTCTTATCTCCCAAATGTCATCTCCCTGTCTGCTCGTAGTTTTTCCATCCTCGCTTGCGCTCGTGTGAGTCTATTTCAATAAAAGAAAAACAGCATAACAATAATATTACAGAAGGACTCAGCTGCATATACAAAATTAACCCATTGCACGTCACTGTAGCACACTAGGTTCCAATTTGATATGTCAAATGATCGAGGTTCGAATCCGAAAGCGGTCCGATCTTCTTTTGGTAGTTGGGAGTCTTTTTTTCCCCGTAATGTCTCTCCCTCTGTCTTTTGACGTCGACTATACGAGGTTCTGCCTTCAAAATGACTTACTGTGTGTCTTTTTTTTTCGGTAAGTGTTTTACGGCGCTCGCAACTGCATAAGGTCATATGAGCGCGCGGGACACCTTAAACATTTTCTGTTGCCGAAGCCTACTCATATCGATTTTATACCACCAAGGGACCTTTAACGTGCGCAATTTGCACACGGGGCGTCCAAGAATTTTCGCCCTTGTCCGAGATGGCTAGGTGTAGATCAGTCCCACCAGAAGATCAGGGGTGTGGCTGAAAGACAGCAGTAAAAATGAGCCAGGGAGTAGCAGGAGAAGATCTGCAGAGAGAGTCAGGAGTCCAGAGGAGGGGGCAAAGAAGGTGAGGGGGTGGGGGCAGAAAGTGGAGACGAAAGCAGGCGACAGAGCATTGCCAGAGAGCAGGAAAGAAGGTGAAATGAGACAATTTTAGAGAAGAAAAAGTTTCCATCGCTACCCGGATTCGAACCCGGGACTTTTGAATGAGAGGCGAACACCTTAAACCTCTTGGCCCCACTGTGTGTCTAGAAGAAACAGGAACTTCAAAAACAACAACAACAACAACATCATCATTATCATCATTATAATTAACAATTATAACAACAACAATAGCAGTTGCAGCAGTAAAAGCAACAGCAACTACAACAACAACAACAACAATGACAATAATAACAACAACAACAACAACGACGACACAATGACAATAATAATAACAACAACAACAACGACGACGACAACAACAACAACAACAACAACAACAACAACAACAACAACAACAACAACAACAACAACAACAACCACAGCAATAAAAACAACAATAACAACAACAATGACGACAACAACAACAACAACAACAACAACGAAAACGGCAACTATAACAGCAAAAACAGTCAATGGTATATAGCTATCCATTATGATACCATACCAGCTGAGATACCAGAGAAACTATAGATAAGGAGAAGAGATGTGTGAAGCACCGGTGATCTTTACTGAAGAGGTTCACAGACTTTCTTGTTCTCAATTCGGTCAAGTGTGGACACCCCCTTGTTTTCTTTCTTCGAAAAAAAATGTCCACATCTCTTCACAAACATCGATATTTAAACTAATGTCTGTCTGTCTGTCTGTCTGTCTGTCTGTCTGTCTGTCTGTCTGTCTGTCTGTCTGTCTGTTTGTCTGTCTGTCCGTCTGTGCCCCCCCCCCCCTCCCTTTCCTTACAATCAAACTCGCAACAAGTAAATCTGCATAGAGTATTTTTATACTTTACATAAAAAAATATAAGAGTGAATAAGATTTCTCGTGACAAGAATTTAAAAATTTGTAATGCTGTAGAGAAAAAACAACAACATGTAGTCTATAATATAACCTAAATCAATATACTAGGGTCGTTAAAAAAAGTTTTGCCTCCTCTCCAATAACTTCTAAACTATTCAAGATAGCTTCATGAAATGTGTACACAATTGACTTTCAATATGTATAGGCCTACTCTCTCAAACCCAAAAAACAAAATTATGCTATGAAGTCACACCTTTATGCGATTGCTGTTTACATCGTGGAAGGTAAGGTACGTTGTCGCCGAGAAAATGGCGTCCAGCAAACCTATGAATGCGCGCTTAAAGCAAAGAGCTGTTATTGAGTTCCTTACTGTAGACGGAGCTGCACCCATTGATATTCATAGGTTAATGAAGCTTGTCTATGGTGAAGCATGTGTAGATGTAAGTACTGTTCGAAGATGGGCAAAGGAGTTCGCTGAAACAAACAAGTCCAGCAGAGACAGATTTGCATGACCAAGCTCGTTGTGGTCCTCCCAACTCTGCCAGTGATGTTCAACACCAGGAGAAAGTGGATGAGATCATCCACGCAAACCGGCGGATCAAAGTAAGAGATGTCAGTGAAATGCTAGGGATTTCTGTAGGGAGTGCTCAGTATATTATCCATGATATGTTGGGTTACAGGAAAGTGTGTGTACGGTGGGTTCCCCACATGTTGTCACCCGAGCTGAAATTGAACCGAAGTCAAGTTAGTGATGAACTCCTGGCTCGTTATACTGATGAAGGTGAAGCTTTCTTACGCTGTATAGTCGCAGGAGACGAGTCTTGTGCACACCATTATGACACAGAGAGCAAAAGACAATCGAAAGAATACAGACACACGGGCTCACCTAGCCCCAAGAAGTTCAACGTTGTTTCATCTGCAAAGAAAGTGTTTATGACAGTGTTTTGGAACTGCAATGTTCTGATTCAAATGGAATTTTTGGAACAGGGTTCCATTATCAACTATGAACGTTATATTGAAACCCTGAGTAAACTTAGAGCACGGCTGTCACGCTTTCCACCCGAAACAAAATGCAATTTTGCACCACGACAACGCTCGTCCACACACGAGTCGACAAACTCAAGATGCCATGAAAAGTCTCACATTTCAAGAGACCTTACCCCACCCATCATACAGTCCAGACCTTGCTCCATCTGACTTTTATCTTTTTCCTAAGTTGAAGGAGTACCTCAAAGGAAAACGTTATGCAGATGACTATGAAATTCAAGAAGATATGCGTCGCTGGTTCAGAGGAAAACCACATGAATTTTCCGCCGACGGCTTGCGACAACTTATTCGACGTTGGCGGATCTGCATCGAAAAAGAAGGCAACTGTGTTGAAAAGTAAAGGCACTGTCATGTAGTAGAAATCCTAAGCTTTCATTTGGTGTATAACTTTTGTATGTAGCACCAGTAATTTAAAAAAAATTATGATCTTGGAGGCAAAACCTTTTGAACGACCCTCATATCATTATCATCATCCCTTCACATGAGAGGTTGAGAGGCACAAATGGCAGTTGGCGGAACAGTGAACGACATTACATTACTTATATTCTCATCTAGTCCATTCAGGGCATTCTGGCTGCTTGTTGTTCGAAACCTGTGTGTGTGCGG